GGGTGTCAGAGCCGAACAAACCGTCCTCAGAGAAGAAAGATTGGGAGGTCAGACTCATAATACCATTATTGTTTTCGACCCTATTCCACCCATAGTGGATCCGGAAGACATTGCTCAAGTCTTGCGGGTGCATTTCGGAACGAATCCTTAAATGGTGAACAGGCCGGCATATCAAAGGCCATTTCCAGAGAGAATCATCAATGAGCATCCTCTCCCGAGAAATTATAGGCCACTAGATTTTCACTCTTTCTCGGGGAAAGATGAAGCCTCAACCATTGAGCATGTGGGACGTTTCACAGCTCAACTAGGGGAAGTGGGCAATAATTCGTTTCATAAATTGCAGTTGTTCAGATTGTCGCTCACCAGAACAACTTTTTCCTGGTTTGCTAATCTTCCACCAGGACAATTGCAAACTTGGGAGGGCTTAGAAGCGGCCTTTCATGCAAGGTTCTTTAATCCTCTTCCGACAGTCTCACTCACAAACCTCCTGGAAATCAGGCAAATGCCGGAGAAGACCGCCTACCAATTCATAGAGCGGATACGACTAATGAAGGGACGTTGCCCGACAATCATTGAGGAGAGCGAGATGACCAATTTGGTGGTCAGGAATATGCATACACGACTGGTGGAGGCTTTAACGACCCACGACGTTCAAGATCTGGCCAGTTTAGCATCCAACGCGGGGAGGTTAGAATCTCTGTTTAGAGAAAAGGATCACAACTTCCGTCATATGGCCAGTGTCGATACAGAGATATGCACCAGACGAAAAAAAAAGGGAAGGTGTTGCTGAAACTGTAAACAACAAGTCCTATGTATGTTCCAAATTGAAGCCCCTTCCAAGGGTAGAAGAGCGGGAGCAACCGACGTTTGATGCATCCAAAGCAGGTGAAATCTTGGATATTCTACTAGCGGATGGGCAAATTCGCATACCGAAGAGGCAACGGTTGACAACGAAGGATGAGATAAATGGAAGGCCATACTATAAGTGACATAACTCTTTTACGCATTACACAAACCAGTGTATGCACTTCCGAAAGGAAATCCAGAGGGCGATCAAAGCTGGAAGATTCAAATATGTGATGATGGGAGTGGAGCGGCAGCCTTTCCCAAAAGTAACTATTGCAGCAGTGATCTTTGTGCGTTCTTCACAGAGCCCACAAAAGGATGATGAAGGATACAACAAACGGAAGGAGCGAAAGCCAAAGGAACAAGAGCTTGACTAGGATGATACGTTTACAATCTACAAAAATAGGGTGGCTGAGATGTGGGACAAAAAGGATGGCTCATTCGAAGTACAGTTAAAGGATAAAATGGTAATGCGAGATCGACCACTGCGCAAGCCACCACCAGTCCGCGATAAATGGAGGTCGGATCAGGGGCTGACGTGGCCTCGGCTGATGGAGGTTGTATCTGAGGCTGACGTGGCCTCGGCTGATGGAGGTCGGATCTGAGGCTGACGTGGCCTCGGATGATGGAGATCGGATCTGAGGCTGATGTGGCCTCGGATGATGAAGGTCGGTTGAGGGATAGCCGATGGAGACCCGGGGTTGGCTTATACAAAAGAGAATTTCAAGATTTTAAGTACGTAAATATGGACGGGTGAGAGAAGGGTTTTTACATAAACCCCATGATGTGACATGAAACAGTGTAATGATGGCACTGTACTACAAACTTCTAAACGTCACAATAAGTAACGCTTAGGAGTAGGGCGGGAGGAGGCAAGTTGTTGAGTAAAAAAAACAATGTGCAAGGTTTTCGAGAATGGGCCTAGGGCTGTGGACTGGTGTATAGTTCAATGGGCCTGTTAATGGCAGTGAGATCCTAAATGGGTCTGAATATTAGCCAAACGGCCCAAGTGTTATTAAGAAATGGGTTTTTTCAGGAGAAACCTGTGATTAGGATGAGACGGCCGATACAGAGGTCGGTCAAAAGAGGAAGTCGGGCGAAGAAAGATGAGACGGCCGATACGGAGGTTGGTCAAAAGAGGAAGTCGGGTGAAGAACGATGAGATGGTAGACACAGAGGTCGGACAAAAGGAGGTCGGACGAAGAAAGATAAGATGGTAGACACGGAGGTCGGTCAAGAGGAAAGGTCTGTTAATTGGTCGGACAAAGAAAGATCTGTTAATTGGTCGCTTAATCGCCTGATCGATTGGCCGGTCATTTGGTCAAACAGTAGTTTAGTCGCTTGAAAGGGCGGTCAATTGGTCGCTTGATTGGGCGACCGATGAGTTGTCTGGATGAATGGTTGTTCAGCCGATTGAAGGGACTGGATGGTGGTCGCTTGATTGGGCGACCAATTAATCGTCTGGACGAATGGTTGTTCAACTGTTTGAAGGGACCGAATGGTGGTCACTCGAGTGGGCAACTGATTAGTCGTTTGGCCTAGCGACCAGTTAGTATCAGGATTGGTCGGTTAGGTTATTCGGTAGATTCAGTCGGCGGATGGTTCAGACGGTTTCTCTGTCGGATGGTGATTTATGATCCGTCTAAAAAGACGGTTGAGAGAACTTACAACTGGCGAGCGGATATGAAGGCACGACCTGGTTGTGGTGGTTGACATAGATTTTAAATAATCTGTCTAAAGTATGCTAGGCGGTTGAGTGGTCGTTCGGGACCAGCCGTCCATTTAAGGAGGTAAGGTGTTTAGAGGCGGTCGGTCGAGCCAGTTAAGGTGTTCAGAGGCGGTCGGTCGAGCCAGTTAAGGTGTTCAGAGGCGGTCGGTTGAGCCAGTTAAGTCCTGTAATTGGCAGGAGCGGTTGGCGAGATGGTTAAGACACGTGTCAATGGAGGAAAAATTGGTGAAACAGTTAAAACACATGCCAATGGAGAAGAAATTAGTGAGAGGTTGATGGCGGTTGCTATAACCGACCAGACGACGGTTCAAAACGTTTCTTTATGGACTATTTAAAGATTTGGGTCTATTCTGGGAAAACATCTTCAATCGACATCAAATTCAGTGAAATTTGTTTTGGGGATCACCATTTACTTTTTCAGTCTGTAGTATTTATTTTCGTAGTTTACTTATGTATCCTACGGTGTCTAGGGATTTTTAATATCAGGCATTTTATTTTATCAAATTCGAAGATAATTTCTATTTTCGGGTTTTACTTTATATTGTTGAAAAATTGCATCAACAATGGTAAAATAAAAAGTTTACTTTTAAACGAATGGGGTATATTGTAAATAAATTTTATAATTTGGCTTCATATTAATACTCCCTCTAGGAAGTTTTGGAGATTTATAGTAAATTAAAAAATAATACTCCCTCTATCATTTTATTATGTTCCTATTTCATTTGTAAATTACAAAAGAAATGAAAACAGAATTGAATGACGGAGATAATATTATTTTTATTAGTCAATGAAAATGTGTAAAATTTTATAAACATTTTGCCCTTTTGACTAGAATAATTGTATGTATGATAATATTTTTGTAATTTAAGTAAAAGTTTAAAAGTATTTTGATATTAATGCATAATTACTTTCTCTAAAATAAAAAATGAATACATTTGAATAAAAAAAATAGTAAAAAAATACTTAGAGTTGAAACGAATGAAATAATATTTAATTTAAAGTATTTAATTCCTAGTTGGAATTAAGGAGGTGTATTTAATTGAGATTTTAATAGATTTCTTTAGATTTTAAAGAGTCTATGAATTTATGTCGATTTAGAAAATTCATAGAGTCTATATTGAGTTTTATATTTTAATAATTGATTTAGATTGATTCTTACAGATGTGATTGAATTTTTATGAATTTATATGGATTTCGTATAATTGAATAATAATTTTTGTATTGATACATATAATTATATAAATTTATATCAAACACAAATTTTATAAATATAATATATTTATAATTAAAGTTACTTTATTATATTTTTATAAAATAAATAAAAAATAATATATAATTATTAATAATATAGAAATATTATAACATATAGATACACTACTATATTGTATATGAATATTAATTTTATAACTTTTAGTATTATATTATATCATTCAATATATTAAATTATTTTATATTTTTTATTACTCCCTCCGTCCCAGGTATCAGGTATCGTGTCCACTTTACCGTAGACACGAGAATTTAGGAGAAATATAATTAGTAAATAATTAAGAATGTATTATTGAAAATAATTATTATTTAATAAAAATAAATTTAAATTAAAATTAAGATAACTAATTAGTATAATTAAAATTAAAAAAATTAAATTAAAAAATTAAAAAAAGATTTAAGTGTATAATACTTTGCAAAAAAAAATGACAGAATAAATGGGACAAAATTATTATTAGTTATATATTTTTTTTACATAAAAAATAGATATTTATATAAATAAAATCAAAGATATAATTTATCATTTTTTAAAAAAAAATATTTTAATAAAAAAAGTAACTAAATATAAACTAAAGATTCAACGAAATATATATATATATATTTCAGTGTCACCGATAATATAGTGTATTCGATAATTGAAAAGGAAGAACGACACCAAAATGACAACATATTGTATTCAGTAATTGAAAAAAAAACTACAGTAATACATATTTATTACAATAATAATTTTTTTAATATTATATTTATAATGTAAAAATATATATTTTCAAAAAATTTGATAATAATTCGCTAATATATTTTAATTTTAATTAATATTTTTATTAAAAAATTATAATAATATTAATAAATATCATCTTACTTCTACCGTCCGCCTTTATGGACCATATTTACATTTTGAGTAATTAACATTAAAAGTATCATTTATATAAACACTAATGAAAAATATTTTTGCAATTTTTTCTTAATTTGTACCCCGATGGAGATAGTATTATTTATCAAGTATACAATAATAATAATAATAATAATAATAATAATAATAATAAAAATCCATGAAAATCTCTACTTATCAAAAAAGATTTGATACTATACAAAATTTTCATAATTTTTTAATCAAAATGTAATAAAATTCATATATTTGAATTGAATACCTTTTAAAAGTTTGAATTCAATACATTCATATTTTAAAAATCCAACAAAAATCTTACTAAGAGTCATAATGGATACACCCTCTAAGACTCAAAGCCTACTATGATTGGCATTTTTTTTTCTTCTTTCCCGGTCAAAATAAGCAAACTTCCCTTGCCTTACATACTCCCTCTTCCATAGATATCTCTCTCTCACAGATATTTAAAGAGTCTTGACAATCGTCGTCCAGTAAGGGATGGTCTATTGGTGTAGAGTGAACTGATGGACTTATAACTGTGAGGTCATAGATTTAAACCTCCGACGCTTTTAGGTCACCTGCTACCGCCCGGAGTTACTCAGTACACACTTTCAAACAGCGGCTATAGATTCCCACATATGAATCATACGAAAAAGAGAAAAAGTCAGACAGTCAATCAATCTGAACTCAATCCCAATCTCATGAATGATACCAAGAAAAGGCAAAACTCCAGACCAGACCTGACCTGAATTAATAAATATTATTTCAACTCTCTTCAATCTCAAGTCTCAATCAGAACACTAGTGTAAGGGTAGAGTCGAGCCATTCTCCCCGAGGACAACGCTCAACTAACTGCCTAGCCTAACCTTGACTTGAAAACTCCTCATCTTGCCTCCTGTCAATCTCTGCACTATCAGTGAATACCATCATCCACCACAGATCAATACCCTTCTTTCCGTGGAGGTTGTTCATGCTCCTTCAAGAATCGGTGCAATATATCTGTTCATTCAAGAAAACATGATCATCAAGGATCCCCGCACACATTACTGGTGTAGAAAACATGCCAATCCTGAGAATGGATACATACCTGTGGATTCAATCAAAGATGAATGAAGACATCCATGGATACCAATAAGAAACAATACTAAGATAGCTGGCACCAAGAATTATGCAAGTTTTGTTTATATGCGATTTCCAGACCCACATCACTGTTATTCCAAGCAGTTGAGACAAGACAGGGCAATACTCCCTCCTCCGAATGTAGCTTCACACAAACAACAAATTAGAATATCACGATGGAACCATTAGAGATATTGAATGTAAGAAACAATACAAATAAACATTCCAAACTATGAAGTATTTTTCATTGCTTATACACAGCTTTCTAATATTTGGATCTCCACCATGTTCAATCATGTTCTGAAACTGTATTGATGCCTACAACTATCACTAAACAAGTATGTTACATCTAATAGCAAATGTTTCTACAGTGTAACACTCAAATTTGTTGTGCAATGAGCAAAGACACAGCTCTGTAAATTCAGAATTATAAACCAACATCCTATTTGGAGATTCAAGGCACATCAAAATTGCATACCTTTTAACTGCTTTCTTTATGCATATCCTACCAAGCCAAAAGACCGAACTTTCTCACCAAATCCTTGCTATGCAACTCTTTTGAATGATTCAGTAACTATCCAAACACTTCCCATCGAAAAACCATGTAAAATCTACAAAAACATATTACAATGTAAATATAGTAGCAGCGAGGCGTAACTGTACACTACAAATTCAAACTAAACTATATCATTCACGGACTGTAAATCTACCACCAGGGCACACACACAACCAACAATCAGCTCTGAGACAAGCTGACCTCACTTCCAGTTTCATTTTCCTTCCCAAATCCAGGTGATGCACTTCTGAATCTTGAAAAACAACGAAATCCAGGACAAATAAATACACATTGAACATTTGAAACAGAGGTTTAAAGAACATTAATGTTCTCAACGAAAACAAGGATAATTCACAAGTTCAGTAAGAGATACTAGGGTTGAAAAGATTGAACCACAACATGCAAGCAATCACAACATTCTCAGAACTATTTCAATTAATGATATGCCCACCTGATATAGCAAGCAAACATACTCGAGTAGGCAATGTTGAAAAGTGTATAGAAAGTGAGTATAATAATGCATGAGGACATACAGATCTCTCAGAAATAAATTCAGTCTCAAACCATTGTCTTAAATTCGGTTTTATAAAATACATACAGAATGTGCCACTTGAAATAAATTAAATTAGAACAGAAAAACATGTTAATGACATCACACCAGAAACATCACCTACCTTTTGGAAATCCATCTTGTTTTATGTGACTTTGATTAGCATCACCACAGGAACAAACAGAGATCAGAATGCCGAGGAACAATTGCTTCTGCACAGAAAAATAAATTGTGTTCTCCTGTCTAGCTCTGTACCATACAATTGAACTATACCAGTATCAACTAATTTAGATCTCTCATTGGCGGTAACAAAATACAGTCCCTAGTCTAAAGCATGCATCATTAATGGCCTTCCGCTACAAATTCTTCGCACACCTAATTAGCAACAACACCCACATAATATCTTTGATGGAAATTATTTGCCACAGAAGACTGTTCACAAATATATCATCTGTTAGAAAGATATAACCTAAGCCACGAACTCTTGTAATTTATGATTCTTTTCATTAAACAAAAATGAACCAAGAAATAGCACATCAGCAACATAAACAACACAGGAATCGTGATTCGAGATACACAGCTGGAATTATAGTTTAAGCGCAGCTATTGCTTCAGGTTTGAAATCCACTCGTAGGCCTAAAACTCTCCTGACCTCTGCAGGAGTTAGTCTCCATGTCATGGGGCCAGAGTTCTCTCCCCAGAAATCTAAAATCTCAGATACTTTTTCCAAGTTCAGAATCGTAGCCATCTGAGTTAGACGAGAAAATTTGTCCCTAACAGTCCTCTGGGTCATGCTGGAGAAATGACTAACCAGTGTCCTCACATCTCTATCAAGCTGGAGGCCTCCAAGCTGACTGAATTTTTTCTGCATCATTATCACTTCAAGCCTTTTCACAATGAAGTCGATGAAAAGATGAATGAATGTATCATAATTGTTGGCAGTCATCAGTGGCTGAAGCCAGACAACATTTATTTCAACAGCGTGGAGGAGGCGTTGCACCCAGGGATCATTCACTTCATTCTCAGCATATTCTGATTCTGAAAGTTCGTAGCTTATAGTTGCCACACCATCTAACAAATGCCGAATTCGGGGTGTCACAGAGGCTACGAGTTGATCCATTCCAACACTAAGCAACTTCTTGAAACTGTTGCTCATCTCATTCAATTCAGACAGGCAGGATTTGATTCTCTCTCTGTCAGCTGGTGTGGGAAATGCCTGGGCAAATAAGAGAAATCTAGTTAGATTAAAACAGGGAAGTTCAGTACACAATGAGATAATTTGTGTTACTAAAATGTTCTAGGCTGTCCCTTATAGTTTAAGATTGAGCATCCAAATCGGCATGATTCTCAACAAAAGTTTATCGTAGCAAGCTCATGGCTACATAAATAGCCATTTTTCGGGTTACTCGCAAATGAATGATTAGGACACAATGGAAAATAGCTCTGAGACAAATAAATATACAAAGATGCATCAACTTCAGACATATGACTGCTCTTGCAGCCCAAATATAATATCAATACACAAGTTATTAGCCCGATATGAATCATTCCACAATGGGGTAGATTTATAACACTTTACAGTTACACCACTTACTATCATTTCTCCAATGGCTACAGATTTACTCTACTAAATTTAGCTATTCAAGAATTAATGAAGTTGCCTCAACTAAAGAATTACAACATATTTTCCGAAGGAAAAATCAATTTGGAGACATTACCGATCCAATAAATTTCATACAGGTATCATAGATAGAGTGTCTACAGATTAAAATTTGACCTTCTGATCATTTCTTCGAAAGCTTCAATTTATATGCTATGCATTCAACATACCAATTCAAAATCCTTACCCATATAAAATACATTGTAAAAGCAGCAAAATATTATATTAGGAAAGTGCATTTAAAAACAGATGAAAATCAATACATACCTCCATACACTGCTCTTCAATCTCGTGGCGCAATTTCAAGGCATACTCACTACTCACATCCATGTTGTTCAAGGCTGTCGCAATCTCAGTGCCAGTCTTCTGCACACCAACACCACCTGAAAACAACTTTGCTCCCAGGTTAGGTTCCCTCATCTTCTGCTGCAATGCCTCACTATATTCACCCCCCAAAAGGCTCACTGCATTGCTAAGCACAGCAATGACTGAGTTGATATTGGAGGTAGAAATTGCCCTGCGACAACAGCTCTGCAACACATAAAACACATCGTCCACCATGGAAGTGGTTAGACTATCCAAAACATGCTCGTCAATTTGGATGGCTTTTCTCACATTCTCCACCATAAAGTATCCTTCCAAAATGACATAATACCCGGTAATATCCTGAGAAACTTTGCTGAAGTTCCCACTTCTAAAAGCCTTCGTCGCCCGTGGACCTAATTCAGGATCCACAGAGGTCAAGCTCCTTATTTTGGAGACCATGTACTCAGTGTAATCCTCACCCAACTGTGTCAAAGAAAGTATTTCTTCTAGATAAAGCTCAACCTCTCTAGGATCGGGACCTTCTGCCCCAACCGACAGCAAGTTACTCTTATATGAATTGATCTCAGATGTCAATTTTGCCAGCTTCCTATACTCCATGTACTTTCTCAAAATATTAGAACCCCTCGAATCGCATTCCTCCTGCAGCTCGCAAATTGCATACACAATGGCATCCTCACCACACAAATTTCTTAGAATCTCATTGTTCTGTTCTGTGGCCAAGACAATGTCCTTGAACAAATTTGTTAAACAAGCTACGAAATTCACCTGAGTGTTACTGTTAGACTGCTCCATATTTTCCACCAATTGCTCGAATTCTGTCCTTGATCTTGTGGAGATGACCTTTTTCAAGTAGCTCACGTAAACCTGCAAACCTTCCTCTTCAAGACCGAGAGGCGTGTAGAGTTTAATGAATCGGAGGATTGTTGGATGGTCCCGCTGATCCACTGCCGCCGCAAGCCTCTTCTTGGCAATGCTTTCCAGTTGCTTTTTGTAGGAAAGAAGCTGCTCGCGTTGATCTGAGGCCGAGGAGTCTTTGAACTTAGAGTCAATTTGCAGAAAAGTCTGGATGTACGAAGCAGCCGATTCGAAATCCTCGGCGAGGAGAGACTTGTGGACTCCATCAAGACAATTGGATCGCTCGACAATGGCGTCAATCCGAAGGAGCGTGTCTTGAACGCGCGATTGAGCAAGATCGAGATGACGAACCTTGGATGAGACCTGATCGGCTAGAGAAGAGGTGGAGGAAACATTGGAGAGCATGTACGAAGAATCGGCCTTGACGATCTCCAAAATCTCAGCGGATTTATGAAGATTGGAGAGCTGGCGATCGAGGTCGGAGCGCTGTGAAAGCAAGGTTTCGAGTTCCAGATCTAGGGCTCGCTGGTAGGCAATGCATTCATGGAGGAATCGGGTCATGGCTCCTACATCCGTCAATTTCCGTACGTGATCCAGAGCTTCGGAGGTTCCGAATTGCAGAGTCGATACACTGGTAGGGGCGTCGGCATCTGGGTCACTGATCGGCGTCGCTGCCATTGCCGTCTTGCAAGACAAGGGAATAACAGAAATTTCAGTACCAAAAGAACACTGAAGGAGGAAGCAAAATGGATTGCAGAGAAAGGAGAAGATGAAAGAAAAGAGGAAGAGGCTGAGGCAGCAGCCAACCGGTCTCGAACCAGCGGTTCAAACCGCCGGTTCTCTGGCTTCGAGCGGCCGTTCCAGTTCAAATCGGACCGCGAACCTCACCGCCGGCGCCGGTTTACTTCCACCTTGTCTAAAGCTGTTTTTTTTTATTAGTTATTATATAAAAATACAGTACAAATTAAATAAAAATGATAAAAAATTATAATGATATTTATAAAAAAAAAAATTATATGAATATTTTTAATATTAAATACAATGATACAAAAATTAAATAAAATTTTATAATCAGACGAAAAAATAGTATTTTTTATGAGTTCCCGACCACACAGGTACTCTTTCTTAAATAAGTGTATAAGGGAAAAACAAACATATTTAAAACATTATGTACAAGTATGTATTGTCCTATAAAAAAAATATACAAAATTGAATTTTAAGAGTATAGACATTTGTATCATTTTTTTTTCTTATATAAATTATACAAACAAAAACATAACCTACTCTAATGCAATTCATTGTTCTGATATTAATTTTTTTTTAACAATACAATTCTTATAATTTTATTTGTATTTATTATTCATATAATGAAGAGAATTTGGGAAGATGAACTTTTGTATTTCACAAAGAATTGATTTACAGTATATCAGTGTATATATATATATATACATGTTGACACAGAATAACAAAGGATAACAAACAGAATCTAATCCCTAACAAATTATTGTAACTTGGGCTTAAAATTAATTGACAGTGGACTACAAAAGACAAAAAAACATAATACAAAAGAAGCCCATTTAACAACTTTCTCATCTTCTCCCTCACCTTACCTCGGTTCCAATTTATTTTGCAGCCTTCAGCTTCTAATTCTCCATTGTTCTTCAATTCTTGACATATAAATTTAAAAATTTAATTTTGGGGTGGAATAGAAAAAAATAGAATAAAATATTCTCCATTGTTCTTCAATTCTTGACATATAAATTTAAAAATTTAATTTTGAGGTGGAATAGAAAAAAATAGAATAAAATGAACGCTCATATATCTGCAGTGTAAAACGTGAGATACTTCATTTTTAAAGCATCATTTGACATTGTTTGATTCGATAGATAAAAAGTAATAGACAATAACTAGAAAATAATACTACCTTCGTCCAACTCTAAAGGTCTCGTTTACTTTTTGCGTCTTGATATTTGAATATTAATTATTATACGAAAACGTAATAAAAATCAAGGAAAAATAACAAAAATACTTCTATTAGTGTCTTGTAATACCATTACAATGACACTTGTGCAAAAAATTATATAAATATAAGTATATTTTTAATGTTAAATATAATGACGCCAAAGGTAAACAAGACCCTTAGAATCGGACGGAGAAAATAATAATTTAAAAAGCTAGCTAGTGAAAACGTTAAATGACAATTTAAAATATTCATAAATAAGTATTAATCTCAATCGAATAAAGTTTGTATATATAAAAAAACATTTCAAATATTTTATATAAGTTCTGATTGTCCTATAAAAAGTATTAAAAATAAATTTAAAAAGTATCATTTGTATGAAAAAGTATAATTTTCTCATATGAAAAGTAAAAATAGCACAACCCTTTTTGAATCGATATAATTTATTATTGCGATAGCATGTTTTTCAATAAACTATTATAATTTTATTTGCATTTATTATCGATAGAAACTTATAAAGTTGAATTTATTCATTGAGATTTAAGACACAACAGTAGAAGATAGAAATCAAGTGAACACTAATGTCTTCAAAGTGAAATATGGTACTTAATCTTGAAAGGATCGATCGACAATAAATCATTTGATTCAATAAATAAACATTCATAAACAATGACAAGTAAATACTAATTTTTTTTTAAAAAAAATAACTAATGACAACCCTAATATCACAATCCATAATATTTACAAAGAACTACCAATTTCGACCAAATAAAAATTGTGTAAAGTAAAAAATAGGTATTTCGAACACCTTGTCAAAGTACCAACTCTTCTACAAAAAAAGTATCACAAGTTACTTTGAAAAGTACTTTCTTGAAAAATTATAATTTTCTATCTTGAAGGTACAAAGACAATATAATTCCTTTCGAATGGATGTAATTTATCATTGTGATAGTATATATTTGGGTAAACTGTTTTTTTAGTCCCGTAACTGGACCCCTTATCATTTTAGTCCTGTAAGTGGAGCATGTCGCAAACTAGTCCCATAAGTGAACAATTTTCGCTGTTTTAGTCCTCCGGCGCCGGAGACGCCCGCATGGCTCGCCGGAGGTGACGTGTCCGCCAGGTGTCGCTGACCTGGCGAGACACATGGCGGTCATGTCACCTCCGGCGAGCCACGCGGGCGTCTCCGGCGCCGGAGGACTAAAACAGCGAAAATTTTTCATTCATGGGACTAGTTTGCGACAGGCTCCGCTTACAAGACTAAAATGATAAAAAGCCTAATTACTGAACTAAAAAAAACAGTTTACCCTATATATTTTCGACACAACCGTTATAAATTATATTCGTGTTTCCACGTTTGCCTACGGAGTTGAATTTTATCTATTGGATCTTAGAGTGCAATAATAGAATATAGGAATCAAATAAATACTCATGCTTTTGAAAAAAAAATAAAAAATTGACTAGTACAATCTTTAAAGCATCATTTGACAATAAGTCAACTTGATTCGATAACAAAAAATCATAAATAATGCCTAGTAAATTATAGTAATAATTAAAAGAACTAAGGGAAACCCTTAAATTGCAATATAAAATACTCATGATGAAATATTTAATTTCGATTGAATAAAGTTTGTGTAAGACATAATATAGGTACCTTAAACATTTCGTAGAAATACTGAGTATGATACAAAAAAATGTTGAAATGAATTCGAAAATAACAATAATTTGTTTGAAAAAGTATGTTTTTCTCATATGAAAATTACAAGCGACAATATAATTTCTTTTGAATCGATGTAATTTATTATTGCAATAGCATACTTTCTAAACACATGCTTATAATTGTTTTTTTTTTTTTTTTTTTTTTTTTTTCTTTCTAAATTTATTGTCCATATAAGCTTAAAAAAATTGAATTTATTCATAAAGATTTAGGATACAATAATAGAATATAAGTGAACACTTGCCTTTGAAATAAAGAATTACTCAATTTTAAAAATTTTGTTCGATCATACGTCATTTGATTTGATAAATAAACATTCATAAACAATAAAAAACAAATACAAATACTTCCTCCGTTCTACTCAAGGGGTCTTTTGGAATTTTGCAGTAGATTAAAAAGATAATAATATTTTATTGATTAGTAATAATTTTTAAAATATTTTGACATTTTGCTCTTTCACTTTATATATAAAGTAATTGTATATATAATTATATATTTGTAATTTAGTTAAAAGTTTGAAGTATTTTGGTATTAATACTAAAATAGGAACAAAATACTTTGAGTGTGACGGATGAAAATGATAAAAATGATATTTTGAGTTGAAACGGAGAAAGTAATAATAATAATAATAATAATAATAATAATAATAATAATAATAATAATAACCATTGAATCACAATGCAAAATATAAAAAAAGAAGTACTAATTCTAACTTAATAAAGTATATAAAAAAAGAAGTACTAATTCTAACTTAATAAAGTTTGTGTAAAAAAAAAATAGATACTTAAAATACTTTGTTAAAGTATCAACTGTTTTACAAAAAATATTGAAAATGAATTCGAAAAGTACAAATTTTTGTTTGAAAAAACATGTTTGTTGTTGTTGTTTTTTTTTTTTTTTTTCATGTGGAAAATACAAATAACATAACCCCTTTCGAATCAATGTAATTTTTTGTTGTGATAACATTTTTTTTCCAATACAACATTTATAATTTTATTTGCATTTATTGTCATATATGCATGCATATGGAGTTGAATTCATACACTGGATTATGAGATGCAATATATTACTATCTCCGTCCAGCTTATTGATCTTTTTGAATATTAATTATTTATATCAAAATGTAGTACAAATTAAAAAAAAATACAAAAATATTTTCATTAGTGTCTTCTAATACTAATATAAGGACATTTGTATAAAAAGTTATACAAATATAATAATATTTTTAATGTTAAGTACAATGACGCAAAAGATAAATGTGACTCATAGAAACGGACGGAGGGAGTAAAAGATAGAGTCAATTGAATACTTATGCATTTGAAGTGAAAATTGTATGGTATTTGATTCAATAAACAAATATTTATATTCAATGAAAAATAAATAATAACAATTAAATAAATTAATAGAAACTGTTAAAACACAACGTAAAATATTTATAAATAAGTATTGATCTTGACTCAATAAAGTTTGTATGTCAAACATTTTGTAGAAATATTATCTTATATATAAAAAGATATTAAAATGAAGTTAAAAAAATTACAATTTTTGTTAAAAAAATATATATTTTTCTTCCATGAAAAGTACAAATGATAACACAACTTTTTTCAATTCGATGAAATTCATCGTTGCAATATTACATTTTTTAAACACAATCACTATAATTTTATATGCGTTTATCCTTTCAGGTTTAGGGCAAAATTGTAATAAAATAGGAATTGAGTGAACGCTAATGCTTTTGAAGTAAAAAACATATAGTACTCTATCTTAAAAATATTGTTACACAATAAATTATTTATTCGATAAACAAATGTTCATAAACAATAACAAGAAAATAATGAAAAAATTGAAAAGAAATTACTGGCAACTATTAAAAATTTATAGGTAGTTCAAATACATAGTAAAAGTATATTTTGCCTTGTAAAAACATATATAAAATAGGTTCGAAGATTACAAAATTATTTAACAAGAAGTACTGGGTAAAAAAAAAGTAAAATAAAAATTTGAGTTGTTTTGCATGAATAAATTGAATTTGAGGTTTCAAGATAGCTTAAACACATTGTAAAAGTATATTTTGCATGAATAAATTGGATTTTTCTATTTGGTTGGATTGATAAGATAAATAAAAGATTATACCGCGGGTATAATAGAAATTTTATAAATTAAATTTATAAGTAGAAAGTAATGAAGAATAAATGAAAAGTTTTTAAGGAGAAAAGAATTATAAATGAGGATTTAACACAAGCATTTCAATGTAGTAAATTTTAAGAAATTAACTGTTAATAAAAAAAATTAAATATTTATTAATAGTATAGAAAAAACAAATGAACAAGATGTGTTCGTTTTTTAATTTCAAATTAAAAATGTTACTTCTTTTATTTCGGACTAAAGTATATACTATATTTGAATTTTTGTGGTAGTCTAAAAAATAATATTCTCTTAGTCCCAAATCAAAAGAGCTATTTGAAGTTTTACTATAAATTATGAAATAATAGTATTTTATTAGTTAGTGAAAATGCGTAAGAATTTTTGATATTTTTGCCCTTTTATATATAAAAATAATCAGGGTGGATGCTATGCTTAATTTTTTAATTCAACATAACTGAAATTAATCTAAACTCTTGATTATGAAATTATTTATTTAAGTAAAATAATTAAGTTTAAAACATGGAGTTGAGATTGGATTCATCGGTATGCACTCCAGCATATGATCTAATCTAAAAAAATAATCGTATATGCAATAGTATATCTGTCATTTAAGTAAACATTAAAATATTTTTATATTAGTGTATGACTATTGTTTTTTTTTTTTGAAAAAATAGGAAATGATACTTTGAAGTGGAAAAACGAAAATGGTAATAAAAAATATTTTGAATTAAGATATAGTTAGTGAAAGTATGTAAAATAATCTTGATATTTTTGTTCTTTATAATTTATGTAAAAATTATGAGTATTTGATATTAATGCGTGATTAATGAATACTTTTGAGTAAGATAAAAATAATAAAAAGAGTATTTTGAATACTTTTGATTGAGATAAAAATTAGTAAAAGGAGTATTTTTAGTTGAAATAAAGAGAATATTTTTGTAATTCAATTTTCTATAAAAATATACTTATTATTTTAGATATTTCGGTTTGAAAAAAATAAAAAACACATAAAGTATAATATGAAAAGAAATAAAGTATTTTGAATAGAACTTTGGAAATAATCTTTGAATAAATTAAGAAAATATGAAGGGCTTTGAATAAAATGAAATTTTATATAGTGTATATTAATTCAAACTGTCAAATCCCTATATTTAATTAAATTGAGTTTTTATCTAAAATAAGTCATAATAGATTAGAAACCGAATCTTTGGGGTGCATTTTCTCTTTTTATTTTTTATTTTTTAAATTTAGATTTAGTTTAGATATTTGAGTTTTTTACTTAAATAATATTTTATACAAAATATATTTTTTTATTATTATATATTTTTTTTTAAAAAAAACGAGAAATCTAAATAATAAAAAATTCAATAAAAAAAATAAAAATAAAACACAAACACCCTAATCATAAATCTTTATTTATTTATATAACATCTTAAAGACCATTGGTAACAAAGTTAAGATTCATAGTTATTAATTAAGTTAATCATAAATCAAGATGATCGATCGACATTTGATCATATTATATGCTATGTGGGTCGGGTTTATGGTAGTCGACGCCGTCAACATTGCGAAACCAAAAGTTACAATCGGGCAAAGCAGCATCGCTAGGGACCTCGTCCATCAACGACTCTTGCGCATGCCCACGAGGAAAATATATCCCCGATCGAGGGTGTGGGACCCACCACCCCTCCGCCCGCGGCCCCCTCTCTTCCATTGATTTGAGCTCGTTGGCTCTCATGATCGTCGACGACTTGCTCATTCCTCGCCTATATATAATAGAGTACATATGTACAATTGTAGATCATGCACTATTGTGTCGAGTGAATATATGTCTGTATGTATGTAATATATAGTTAAACTTTTCTGGTATAATTGTTTATGATTTACATTTGGTTTAAAAGTTTGTGCTATTCATCTTTATTGTTTAAAAACTGTGCAACATTTATCTGAATTTTAGGCAAAATTGTTTATAACTTACTTATGATTTAAAAAATTGTACGATACTCTATTACGATCTAAAAATTGAATGATATTTCTCCGTATTTTAAAATATATGTAAAAAATTTATTAAAAATTATATGAAACTTCATCGTATTTTGGAAAATATTGTACATAATCCCCTAAAAAAAGATTTCATGCAATATTTTAAAATATAAAGGAGTTTCATGCAATTTTTATATAATGAGGAAAATAATGTATATTTTCTAAACCACATGTGAGTTATAAGTATTTTTGCGTGTATTTTAAAAAAATATTATACAAAATCTTTCAAACCGTGGTGCTTGAACGACAATACTTTGCACTAATCTGTTAAGTTTAGATGTTTTTGAAATTTTTTGCAAATGTTCACAAACATAAGAGACTGTTGCATAATTTATAAAACACGAAAGAGAACGATACATAATTTTCAAATTACGTATTTAATAAACAATTTTGACTATTTTTGTTACAATTATAGACAACAATGTGGTGTATATTTTTTTGTGTTTTTGGGATGTTTCAATAAAATGAATGCTTTTGAAATAGTAACATTGAGAGTTGAAAATAAGTATTGAATGTAACATTGTTTATAAAAATAATAATATTAAATGTAACGTATGTACTCCCTTCGTTCTACATAATTTATTCCTCATTTTTTATTTTCGTTTATACCACATAATTTGTCATTTTATTTTTTTGAAAATATAATTATACATTTTAATCACATTTTAAATTTTAAATTTTAAATTTTATAATTTTAGTTATCTTAATCTTAATTTATTAATTATTTTTACTAATATCGTTATTAATTACCTACTAATTATACTTTACCTAAATTCTCTACCTATCGTACCCAAATTAGTATATATAGAATAAATAGTGCAAAATAATCAAATTAGAAAGCAGAAGCAAATTACATGAAGATTAGTAGAGAATTAAGAAAGAAGAACATACACAGATAAATTAGGGTTTGCAAGCAAGATCTTAGTAGTATTGTTGATCCCACTTGTTCTTGCCATCCCCACCAAGTCGATCATCTGATGCCATTACCCTATACATATATATATATATATAGAGAGAGAGAGAGATAGAGTTAGAGAGAGAGAGAGGGAGACATGAAAAGACTGATTGGTAAGAATAAATTATTGTGCAGTCATAGAATGGATGGCAAAGGCAAAAAGTCACTTTTGTTTTTTGGTCTAAATAACTGATGTAGGCATCTGTGGTGGTGGATTAACCAACATAAGACTGCCAAAATTTAAAGTATTTCAGTTCAGACAATTTTATTTTTTATTTTTTGAAATATTGTAAAATTTTAAAATAATAAAAAGTTAAGTTTTTGTTAAATAATATTATTTTCGTCCTGTTTTAAAATTTACATTTACTTTTTTAGGTATTAATTTTTGAAAATAAATTATTACCTCCGTCCGACTCTAACGGTCTCATTTACTTTTTGCGTGTTGATTTTTGAATATTAATTATTATATCAAAACGTATTACAAATTAAGAAAAATTGAAAAAATACTTTCATTTGTGTCTTATAATTCTAATAGAAGAATATTTGTATAAAAAATTATAAAAATATAAAAATACTTTTAATATCAAGTACGTAAAATGTAAATGTGACCCTTAGAGACGGAGAGAGGGAGGGAGTATAATATTAAAACGTACTACAAATCAAAGAAATATGACAAAAATATTTCTATCAGTGTCTTATAATACTACTTGTTACTCCCAATATTCTCGAGCCTCCGGAGGTGACTGGCGGCCCCCCACTCGGAAAAGTGGATGGACCGGCCCAAACAGTATCAATCCAGTCCAAATTTGTGTACGAATAAGATAAACTTAATTTAGATGATTGAGACAATGAAAGAGCAAATAAAGAGTTTCTTAAAGACATGTGAAGTTGAAAAAAAAAGAGATAGAATTACGGACAAAATTTTAGGAAAATAATGAATGAGTAATTGTCTTAATTATATATCACCTAGGAGAAAAGGGATAGAAACACCCGATCCATCCAACACTCAAATAATCTCATTTTTCTTCTTTATTTTTGCTTATTAGCTTAAATTCATATTCTATTTCTTAGCCGTTTAAATCCAAGCAATTTCCATTCATATTTTCAATTTAGCTTGCTTTATATTTTCTTTGCATTTCGTTTACTTTGCTTCTCATATTGCAATATTTTTTTAATTTGATTGGCACCGCATTCGGTCCATCTTCGGGCCATCGTTCTACGAATATTTTTGTTTGGAGGTGTTGTGATTTAATATTTGACTGAGAGATTTTTCCCAGATTTTTTCTTAAGGAGGCCGGGAACCCAATTCATGTCGATCTCAACTGGCTTAATCCAATGGGCCGTCATCGACGAATTTCAGCGATAATACTACTATAATGATATTTGTACATAAAATTATATAAATATAAGGATCACGGTGACAACGGTGGTGGCGGCGACAACGGCGGTCACGGTGGCTTCTCTTTCTTCTTCTTTTCTTCCGGCAGCAGCGGACCGGGAGCGGCGTCAGCACAGCCCTTCGCGATTCTTCTTCTTCTCCAACAATGATGGCGGCGGTGGCAGCGACAACGGCAGGGCATTCTCTTTCTTCTTCTTCTCATTCGTTTTCTCTCCATCTCCGGCAGCAGGGGCAGCGACGGCGGCGGCGGTGGCGGGGCAGGCAGGGCATTCTCTTTCTTCTTTTTCTTCTCCTTCGTTCGGGCAGCGGAAGCAATGGCGAGCGACGGGCGGGCTGGCAGCAACGACGGGCAGTGGTGGTGGATCTTTATATATATATATATTTATTTATTTTTTTAAAAAAAATTACAATTGCCTCAGAAATTCCGAAGCCATTTGAAATATAGTTATTATATTGTTGCGTTGTCTCAAAATATATTTACTTTTCTTAGAAAAAAATTAACAATTGCTTCGGAAATTCTGAAGCTTTTGGAAATGGTCTTGAAAAGTCCGAAACAACATAAATGACAACGAACTTTTCTCTTCGATACAATTCCGAGACAATTTTTAAAGTAAAAATTAATTTGCCTCGGAACCCTTTTAAATTCCAAATTATTTTTCTGAAGCTTTTTTAATAAAATCTGGTAGTGTAAAAAAAAGTAAGACAAAAATATCATTACATTATTTTTAACTATTCTCTGCGATTAAATTATGTACCAGAGAAATAAACGTATACTTAGTATATTTTTTTCAAATAAAATATTAAATTAGTTACTATTATTATGACATTTTCAAAATTTCAAAACTTTCCAATCTTTTTTTTTTTTGTCTAAACAGAGAATTAGTATTTAATGGTATGTTTTATGAAAAAGTATTTAATTTGATATTTTTGGAATAATAATAAACATCCAAATATATTGTCTAAACAAAGTTGTTGAAGGATTAAGACTATTTATATATTTTAAACTATATTTTATAATATATATATAAATAGAACACATAACTTTAGTTTTTATTAAAAAACAATTATATAAATATATATATTTAATTTGAATATATATTTTTTAATTGATATATTTTTTATTTTTATTTTTTAAAAATATTTTTATCTCCAGGGCATAGGCCTTTTGCACTGGATCCATTCACTCTAGGGCGCCCATAGGGCTCCGAAAATATATATATATATGAATATATACTATTATTATTATTATTATTTTTATAGAATATATAAAATTAATTTTTAAATAAAAAATTATTTTTATATTTATTTTTAAAATATATTATTTTTATATTAATTTTAATTATTTAATTTTATGTTTTAGTATGTTTATTTAATTGTATAATTTTATATATTTTTATTTTGAATTATGTAAAATTTCGAAGATATAATAGAGAGTAATATTTTTATTTTTATGTTTATATATTTAAATTTGTATATACTATTATATTTTTTTGGTAATATTTTAAAAAAGGCAAATTGTGTATTATATAAATACTAATAAACACTTTTTTTTTTGTTTTTTTTTTAAAAAAGTTGACTATTTATAAAAATTGTAAAAATATTAAATCAAATATTTTTAAATTTTTTTTATATTGTATTAAAAAATAATTTTATACTAAAAAGGCTACATTAATTTTATATTTATATTTTTATCTTTTAATATATAAAGAAATTAATTTTATTTTTACATTTACATTTAAAAAAAATGTATAAAATTACTTTTGTTATTATACTAATATAAAATATATATATTTAAGTGCCCACTATTTCAATTTTGCCCCGAGCCTCAGAAATATCATATTTCTTCCATATTTTATTGGAAATACTACTTCGCTCTCATAACAATTTACATAATTTTCACTTTAATATGTCCTATATATCAATAATTCAATATTAAAGATACTTAATAAATAAAAATAAATTTAATTAAATTTATAACATCTTATAGTAAGATCATCCAATTATTTATCTCTCCTTAATCAATATAATTAAACTTATAATATGGATCAACTCAAAATTTTCTTACTTACATTTATCTTCTCAATAAATAAATATTTTTATTTATATTTAAAACTCTTTATTTTTTATAAAATTAGTTTATATTAACCATAAATAAATAAAAATAATTTTAATTTAATTATTATAAAATTTTATTATGTATAAAATAATATTTATATTATATATTTTTTTATTGAGAAAACAATGTTTAAAATATTTTTATATAGTAATTTTTATTTAAAAATATCGGCATCACCGCTTACATAAAAAAAAAAAAAAAAAAAAAACTAACAAAAAAATAATATAATCTTCTATCATTAACTTATTAAATCATATTTTCTTAAATACCATATCATTAGTCAAGCGGCGTCAACGTTTAAAAATGAGGTAGCATTAGGTTTTGTTTCATTTGATTGGAGTTTAGATTTAAATGATATTTAAATTTTTGTAAAACGAATATACTCTCTCCTACCACGGATAAAAGTAAACATTTACTTTTGGCGCCGGTGTTTAAGAAATAATAGTATTTTAATTATAATGGATAGTTAAAAGTAGTGTAATGATATTTTTGCCCTTGCTTTTTGGTATAAAAGTAATGATGTGATGTAAAGTAAGAGTATTTATAGAAAAAAGTGAGGTATTTTATGGAATATTTACTTTGTAATTGGACGTCCCAAAATAGAAATGTGTATACTTTTTAGCTTGATGGAGAGAGTATTTTATTGAATATAATAGAAAATGAATAGCGTTAGATTTTTATTTGAAACCCAAATCAAACAAACCCTAAGCTCAACAGTTATTATTAACCTTTTACCTTCTAATCCCCACTTCAATTGATTGAAGGATTAATATATCTAATATAAATATTTAAAAAAAAGGGAAGTATATTGAGTAAAACTAAAATTGGGAAGAAAAAAACAAAAAAAGTGTATTATTTGAACTAAAATATAGGTCGGGCAAAATATTCAAAATCTGAAAATTCAATCCGAATCAAACTGAAATTTAAAATTTGGTTCGGATTTTTCAGATTGGATTGGATCGAATTTTTAACAAATTTCGGATTTTTAGATTGGATCGGATCAGGGTGTGTTTGTTTGGGGATTTGAATTTTGGATTGAGATTTGAATAGTAAAAATTTTAAATTTGAATAGTTGTATGATGTGATATAAATAGGTATTGATGTGATGTTTTGAGTGTAAAATTGATTTTTAGTATTATATAAAAAAGAAAAAATAGATGTTTGATATGATGTTTTTAGGGGAAAAAAATTGGATGAATAGTTGGATTTAAATCCAATCCTCCAAACAAACACACCCTCAGTATACTTCAAAATATAATATTTTAATATATTTTTTTATTATATATATTTAATATTTTATTAGAAAATATTATATTTTAATATAAAAAACTCAAATCTATTAATTATATTTTAATATATTTAATTTTTATATATTATATATATTTAATATTATCAAGTAATAATAAAATATAAAAGAAATTTAAAAATTTTAAAAAATAATAATAAAAATATTTAGAATTTCAAATTTTCGGTTTGGTTTGGATTTTTTAG